GCTATGATCAAGTATTGACCTACCTGGGGATTTTTCTACCATGATCAAAAAATACATACGTACTGCTGTGCCAGGATCTCCTTTTTGACCCTGCAACGAAATGTATAAGTGGAAACACATTGAAAAAAGAACAGTTACACAACGAGATCGTTATTTTGTATCAATGGATTATGAGTATACTTTGCTAATGCAGTGCATTTACAATCAGTATTAAGTCCAGTCCTCTCAGTTGATTGATTTAGTATAAAATCTTCGTAATATTTGGGTTTTGTTTTGCTGTTCCAGAATACAGACAGACAGCTCTGAAGTTCAGAGACAGCCCGTGACTACAAATGGCACATAATGCAAGGACAAAGTCCTCACTGATGGTTACAACAATTTCTTGTGGTTACCAAAATGACAGTGATCTTAAAACAGTAGAACATGCTTATGATGCTAACAAGGAGGACCTAAATAAAGTGTACAGCATCTTTGCTCCACAGAACCAAGGCAACTGTGCCCAGCTGCAAGGTGGTGCATCTGCACTCCGCAGTGTGGGAGACACCAGCTCTGTATTACTGTCACAACATAATTCTCAGCTTTACATTTTTTCTGTGCTGTAGCTACAGGCGATGAATCAGTGACAGAATTGTGGTCAGAATTCATGAGCTTCTTAGTTCCGCCACCAAATGTAAACTACTATGCCATCAGTGAATATAAATACTATATTAGGATACTTTTGCTAAATAATCTAATACCAAATTTTGAACCATTTTTGCAGCCTTTGCTCGCTAGGGTGAAATACTTAAAACAAACTAGTCTCCAAAATGGCCTAAAAGGCTTGATACACACATAAAATCACATACTTTACAATTTACTATATACTAATCATATCTTTATTTCTTCTCTCATATATGAAATCAAATTCCATGCCACTTAACAAAACTGCATGCAATTAACTAACCTCTCTGTTACTATGCTAATTAAATATTAGAAATTATGTTTCAGTTAATACTTACTGGAGGTCCCGGTGGACCTGGATAACTTGCGACACTCACACCTCCCTGTAACAGTAAATTTAAAAGTTGAGCTAGGCTCAAATTAGGTGATGATTTTTTTTTTAAAAAAAGAAAAAGCATTGAAGAGAAATACCTGAAGTTTATACAAGCTGCTCATTCCATTTCTTTCATTGTAAGGCATACCCTTTAAAACATAAGAACCAAGTCTATGTCAAAATTAAGAATTATAAAGGCAGAGTTTTTGCCCTGTTAAATCCCTGTAGTTCAAAGCTGAGGTGACAATTTTGTTCTAAATTAATTTTTCAAAGATTTCAAAGATTCCAGATGTTTCATAAGAAGTTAAGATACATACCAATGCAGCTTGGGACTTTTTTTTAATTACGACTTTCCTGAGATTCCCTGAGTTCCCTGATGTCAGGTACCCAAGATGCCTAGATTACATTAATAACATTGGACACCAATATTAACTCATCTGACCAAGTTTCTTTGCTGAACTTACTCAGTGATGAATCACAAGAAAAAAAAAGGAATACAGAAAGCTTTTGCAAAATGACATTGTTCTCCTCCTGCACTATTAATACGCATTAGATTGACAGTCAATTCTTTATTCTATATTACATTTTACTCACAGATATATTGTTCTAATACAAGATTCACAATATAAACCGAAATGTCTCACCGGAGGCCCAGGTGGTCCAGGTTTCCCAGGAGGACCTTCATTACCCTAGTACAGCAAGAGATTCATATAACTTATTTACCGTAACTGATGTCCAGATCTATTCCATACCCAAGCTATGATGACCATAATCACAATAAACAAGAGATATAGTCAATATGAGCAGGTAATATCAAGAATAGCTGCTGCCCAGATCCTGCTTGAGCTATAGGCAAGTTACTAATCATTACTTTGTAACTTTTCCATTTCATTAGTTACTTGATGCTTTATGTCTAGTAACTTCCAGGAGAGACAAGAAGAAAAAAAAAAAAAAGTTGCAGCAGATAAAAGTTAACATTTGTTTTATCATTCACAGATAAAGTAGAGTTGAATTTATTTAGAAATAAACTGAATAAAGATCTTCTTAGTGAAGAAATATAATTAATATCTTTTTGTGGTTTCTTTTACAGCAAAATGTTCACCTGTGGCTACCTGTATCTGTAGTCTGTTCTGCCGACAAGCGCTGAATTGCTTATAATAAAAAAATAAAGCTTCTAAGTTTTCGCCTCAGCAGAATGCTGGGTTCTCTGAACAGTACAGAGTTACAAAGGTTTCAACATCAGATCTCCAATATAAGATATTTTCAAAATCTCATCACCATGATTTAGTTAAAAAAAATTAATTACGAATAGTGTGGAAAAAATCTGCCAGAACTTTTCACTGACTTTGTTGGATGTTCTTAAATGTATGTCAGTGAGACTCTTTGGCTGCATATTTAAAATTATTCAGGTGGTAAAAGCCAAGCTAAGTGTTCAATGGCAATAATTAGCCCACCTGAAAAATATAACTGTAATCAAATGTTTGGATATGTTAGGATAACTTTCAAATGGTCCTGCCAAATGACAGAAACTCTCAGCCTCCAAAGAGTGATTCTCACTATTTCACATGGAATAAGAATATTATACTTTAGAAAGTATATTATATGATCATTTCTCAAGCATGTTCTCCAGATGAAGGAAGAAGGAGGAAATTACTTTGGCAATATCTCAGTTCATTTCATCACTCTCCAGGCTTTTGACCTTTTTGACTGATGAAACACTAGTTATGGAGCCATGGCTTCTCATCCCCACCTCTGTGTGAACTGTAAACAAGGAACTAACAGAGACTTGTGTTTTCCATTCAGTTACATAAAATGAAGAACTTGTACCAGAAAGTCTTTTAGAGCAAACAAAGTTTGTGTCTGCTGTATTTCACTGATCTGAGGTACCCAAAAAACAAATTAACCTATTAGTTATAACAGATAGTATCAAGTGCCTACTACAAGAACACATAAAACGCTGATAAAAAGCAGTGCTATAACAGTGTAAATTAAGTAAAAAGGAAGCTTATATATTTTTGCAGAATAACTTATATCGATATCTTTCAGTACTTGTGAAGCATTTTTAAAGTATGTAATTACTTTTGACTAAAACACTGGTAAAAGAATGAGGAGAGCAAGTAGTAACTAGTCATACAGTATTTCGCAAACATATTTTCACTTTCCTAGATTTTATATAATATGTCATAGTTAGAGAACATTCTCTGCAACTTACATGCTATGCTTCAAAATGCAAGCCTGTATGCATGGCATTGTTTGGAGTAAGTACTTGTATTAAGACACTAATAAAATATAGTTTTAATTAAGTTAATTTAATTATTTTTTTATTCTTATTTTTTTAATGTACCTCAAGCTCTTGTTTGCACTTTACATTAAAAATCTTCAAAACACAGAGAACGTAACAGGGTTTCAAAACCCTGACAGATCTTTACCAAGATTAAAAAGTAGGAATACCTTTTCGCCTTTTGACCCTGCTGGACCAGGATGTCCAGTTCTTCCTGTGACGCCCTGCACAACACAGTATCGGTTTACAATTAAAGAAAAAATGAAACACAGGTTTTTTTTGTATTGCAGTTTGTTTTTTAGAACTTTTATTTTTGGAAGGTCATTTAAACCTAATTATGTTTCTCCTCCAGGTTTAAATGTTTCTCTTCTGTTTAATACAACTGCTATGTCTTTCTGATCAACATCAGTTCATAACATGATTTCTTTTATTAGCTCTAGTATGGGTAAGATTTTATTATTGCTCTTCTAAAAGCCAAGACAAAGGACAAGAAACAAAGAGCAAAAAATTTTACTACACAGTTATAGCAACCTCTGCAGAGAAAGGTTAGATTATGGGTGACTCCACACACTTACTGACGGTCCACTGGGTCCTGGTACACCCGGCAGTCCAGGAGCACCCTGGAGGCCCTGGAAATTAAAAAAGGATACTACTATTTCCTCTCCCACTTATACCTCAAAAACCCACTTACATTCAGCATGTTCAGTAGCATTATAAATGTATTAAAGCACATTTTTGTTTAAAAGCTTGGCATTATTTTTAGGAAGGGAAAAAGTCCCACCATCACACAAGGAAGAGTTTATCTCTGAACGAGGTTAGAGGCAACTTCTTGCTTCATTGATAAACAACGCTTGTCCCTCAACCTTTCAGACTGTTAGCTTATATTCTGTAAATCTTTTTGTCTTTAGTTGTACAGATAAGAGCAGGACATACGGCTTTTCCTTAGAGATTAATTTTCTATCTCTAAAAGGTGTTTTGTTTTTTTTTCCTGGTAAGAAGACATCTACTCAGACTTCTCAGTGTTACCTGATGTTATCTAAATGCAATGATCTTTCTGCCTGACTGACAGATTTTGCTTTTTGGATTACAGAACATGACATTTTTCAAAGTATTTAATTACCCATCTTCCTGGATGTATTCTATTTAGTTTCCTGGAAATCAACATATTCTGGTACCCACTTACTAAATACACAGGTGTGCAACTTACTACAGTGGATACAGGTATGATTTGAGACAAGCCTGCATGTCACTGAACTGTTTCCTCTGCGACACCAGGCTTAGGTACAATTTTAGACATGCAAAAGTCAGGTACTAATGAGAGCTCCTCATTCTCATAGCTCCCCCTATAATCCGTGAAGGTAAGTAGGTCCCTCCCAGCAGTGATTCATTTTGTCTGCACAGGGTTCCTATCCTCTGACAAAAGGAATCACTTCAGAAAAAGTGCAGTACTCATGTTAAAAGTAATATTTAGAAGGTATGGCTAAGGGACTAGTCCAGAAAACCACAGTATTAAGGAGCCCTGAAACAGGGATTCTGAGGGAGAGACAGAGGGAAAAACTTCAGAACTAAAAAAGTAACACTATAGAAATAAATCAGGAAAGATGTGGAGATGGAGAGAGACATCTATTTATATGTCTTGCTCCTACACACAGAGGGCACTGATCATTCCCTAAAGTTTTTCACTGACAATCCAACTGCTAACATGTTCTCAGCTCATTTTGAATTACTTTACTGATAGTACAGTCACACAGAAAATGAATCCAAAGCCAAAGGAACATTTTCTGTAATTCTTATTGTTGATATTAGAAAAACTCCGCCCCAAAAACAGCTTAAAAAAGGAAGAGAACTAAGTTTCCACAAAGATTAAAGGGCTATTTGAAAGCACATGGAAGCTAATTAGTATATTTCAAAGAGCTTCAGGTGGGCTTCTCAATCTCTCTTCCCATTTCCGTCATAACCAGATCATAAAAATGAAAACAAATATGTTCTTTTAAAGATCATAAATTCGTAATAAAAGTTACTTAGAAACTTTGTAAACTCTTTGATATGTGCTTCTGGAAAATAATTCACTTGCATGCTTAAAATGTTATAATCCAAAGCTGCTGCTAAATACTAAAGATACGAGAGCTAAGGCAGCTAAACAGGTATCAAACAGTAAATAAGCATGCAAACAGCTCACTTACTAACACAGCACAGCACCAGACTGAACCAGTAAAAAAAAAAATTAGAATGAGTTTACTCTGGAGTCCTTTAAAAAAAACTAACTGCCAGTTACAATCTTCCCTTTCTCTTATTACATTCTTAATTGCCTCTAATATCTCACTTGAGTCTCAGTAGTTAAACAGTATCTGAATGTCTGAAACTGCTTTGGGACTGCCTCAGTCTGCCAGGGTTGAATTGTAGAGGTACCCTACAGGGCAAAGGAAGGATGTGTTACTTTCCAATTTACTTTTTAAGTAAAATCCAGCTTGGATTTTGCTTACGGCTGCTCCATCATTTTAAAGTATATGTTCAAAATCCAACCTCAGGAGGCATTTGCTTTTAAGAAGCAAAGTCATAATGAGTTCCATAGATTGCATGAAAACAAGAGGAAAAATAGCATAATACTTTGACAATCTACTAAATTCTGGGGCAAAGAAGCAGCAG